CATTCCCATTTGTTTTTCCCTATTCCTGGCATTCCCAGATTTTTTCTCCATTCCCAGCATTCCCAGTTTTTTTTTTCCCATTTCTGTTTTTTTCCCATTTTCCTGGCAGTTGTTGGCCTGGGCAGGGCGTTCTCTCATTCCCAGTTTTTCCCATTCCCGTTATTCCCATTGTTCCGGGTTTTTCCCATTCCTGGTTTTCTTTTTTTTTCTCATTTCCTTCTTTTCCCCATTCCGGGTTTTTTTCCCATTATTCCTGTTTTTTTCCCCATTCCCCACAGGTGGTGGGTGGCCTGGACAGGGCATCCCATTATTACCATTTTGTCCCATTATTCCCATTTTTTCCCCATTTTTCCCTGCAGGATATCCCATCATTCCCGTTTTTTCCCATTGCTCCCATTGTTTTCCCATTATTCCCATTTTTCCCATTATTCCCAGCTTTTCTCCCATTTCCCACAGGTGATGGGTGGTCTGGATGGGGTACCCCATTCCCATTTTTCCATTTTTCCCTGTTTTTTTTCCCCGTTTTTTCCCCATTTTTTCCCCGTTTTTTCCCCATTTTCCCCCCATTTTTTCCCCATTATTCCCATTTCCCCTGTTTTATTTCCCATTTTTCCCATTTTTTCCCACTTTTCCCCAGGTGATGGGCGGCCTGGACGGGTTACCCCATCCCCATTTTTCCCATTTTCCCCGTTTTCCCCCATTTTTTCCCCTGTTTTTTCCCTATTTTTTCCCATTTTTTTCCTGTTATCCCCATTATTCCTGTTTTTTTCCCATTTTTTCCCATTTTTCCACAGGTGATGGGCGGTCTGGACGGGGACATGTTCAATTATTACAAGATGCTGATGCTGCAGGGGCTGATTGCTGCCCGGAAGCACATGGACAGGGTGGTGCAGATCGTCGAGATCATGCAGCAAGGTGCGAAAATTTGGGAATTCTCAGGGATTTTGGGAATTCCTGCGGATTTTGGGAATTTGGAGGGGTGGGAGAAGCACCCATGGGGTTTTCAGCCCCATTTCAAACCCCGTTCCCATGGATTCCCAGCTCCCCTGGGTCTCAATTCCGTCCCCTTTTTCCAGGCTCCCAACTTTCTGACCCCATTTCCGCCCATTCCAACCCCAAAATCCCACCATTCCAACCCCAGATTCCCAACAT